TGTTCTTCTGGATTATAATTTTCTAAATGAATTTTATATTTTTTAAATAGTTCTATCACTTCTTTATGATCATCTCTTGTACGTACTATTAATTACAATGAAATTTCATAAGGTAAATTAGTACTCATATTACTAACTGTTTATTTTGACTCTTTAAACACATTCTTATAAGTTTCCAATAAACCTTTCCTTAATTACAAAGGTCCTCTTTAAAATATTAAATATAAATACTTGTTTTTTTCTATTAATTTATAATTACAAAAGTCTCCTTAACATCTTTCAAGTATTAAATGCTTATATAGAGTTTTGCTCAATTTCTTATCTTCTTCTACAATTTAATTTGGATACTTTTTGAATTCATTATTTGCATTTTTATCCAATCTAAATTATTTACATGCCATCATGAAATTATCAAATTAACCATTACTAGCAATTTCATCTCTCAAACCCTTTTGATATGGTGCTAGATATAAAACTTAAATTTACCTCCTTTTTAAATTTAGATAGTGATTTATTTAATACCAGCAAAATAGATCTAATCTCTATAATCAACAATGAATTTGGGAGTGAATTTACGTATTTTTACTTTGAATACTTTTTCAAGATAGAATGCTATCTTTTTTGTCTCCTTTAATAGTATATAATTATATATATACTTCTTAAAAGCGTTAATTTAGAGTAGAATTACAATATTTGAACATGGTTTGTACTTTCTAAACATCTTATTGTCTTAAAGGAATTTAACCACTACTTTGGACTGGCATCAAGAGTGTTTAAAAAGGATTGCTGGATTTAGCAGTTGTACTTTTGTTCACTCTTTTGATTGTAAGAGTTTTCTTGAAAAACTTGAAAGTGATTGGAATGAAATCAACATCATAATGGTATTCAACATAATAGACTTCATCTGCAAACTATTAATCTAGCTACTACTTTGATTTTCAATGTACTATTGCATGTATGCCAAAGATGAGAGATCTTTGCCTTCAACAAAGAATTGCAATAACTCTTATCTATTCATAGGTATTCCCTCATTCCTTTTCATTTACAAAAATGCTATTGGATATTCCTACATTATTATAAAAAAAATTAGTACCTCTTTGAATTGAGGACATTACTTTGCTTGGTCAACCAATTGACTTAGAGTATCAATCTTGATGTCTTTTGGAAATTTAATACCAAGCAAAGCTTTTGCAATTTCGAGGTTTGAGAGTTTATCAGAATTCTTTTTCATGACCACTTGAGTATTTTTGGGATTGAATAACCAAACTTTTGGCATAAGTTTATCGAAGATGATTGTCTATGGTATTAGACATGGCAACTTATTGTTCTTTTTAGTACACATTTCATAGAAACCCCATTAAGAAGTTAGTTCTAATTGATCTTCCATAATTATATTAATAAATCAATATCCAAGCAACATAAGGACCAAGAATATTGAATAAATGATGGTCTCGTAATTAGATACTCCTGGATTTGAACCAATACCGATATTCTTTTGAACATAAACAGCCTAAGAAAATAATAATTAAAATATAATACTCCTGCATATGGTTGTACAGATTATAGACATCTTTTTTCAAAATTGTAAAATCCATATTTGCATATAGCACAACCATTTTAAGTAGTTGGATTTTATTAATTAGTCAAAGTTGATGTAGTATATCCTTCTGCACAATTTGCACTACTCAAAGAAACACAACCTCCATTTTAAAGTACATATCCAGATATACAAGAATTACAAACTTAACCTGGAGCAGAACATGTTGCACATTCAAAAGGACATTTCAAACAATATGAAGTTGTTGCTGTACCTGTATTAATACTAGATAAGAAATATCCATCTAAACACACTTAACATGAACTAGGTGTTTGTGCATTACAAGTAGCACAATTAGCAACTCCACATTATGTACATCCACCACCAGATACATAATATGTTATAGCACATTTAGTACATGTTGGACCAGCTGCACATTAAAGACAATTGACATCACAAGCAGTACATGTTGTAGTAGTACCACTTGAGAAATAATAATTGGCTGCACAAGCACTACAAGCTATTGAATTAGTTGGTGATCCACTGCAAGCAGTACAACCTTAAGGTAATGTATTAGTTAATCCTGCATCACAAGCCAAACATTAAGAATTGGTATACAATTTAGTTTATATAGTACAAGTTGCACATGTATATTGAGTGGCACTAGTAGCTACAATAGTGACACATTGTTATGATTAATTTGATGGTACACAAACTGTTTATGCTAATGTAGTTCCTGAAGCAGGTAAAGTATATAAATAGTATCCATCTTAACATTAAGTTGGTACAACACCATTAAGGGATGAATTTTCAACTGGACCTTAACATCTCAAGAATGAATCTGAAGCTTGAGTACATGGTTTACAAGTAACTATTCCATTAGTATCCTTAACACCAAAATATCTAAAATTATATATT